TTTCTCTGTGGGCTGTCCTTGAACCATCATACTCCCAATCTCAGCCTTTAGAGTAGCTAAGTTTATATGTGTGAGCCACTGGAGCCTGACAAAATATTTTACTTACTCTTTTTTTTTTTCAGTACTAGGATTTGATTAGGGCCTAATGCTTACTAGACAGGTGTTCTACCACTTGAAACATGCCTCTAGCCCCCTTGTGTTTTCAGTGGTACTATTTTAATAATGCTGGCTTAATTTTTTTTTCTTTTTCAAGTGTCCATTGCTGATATATAGAGAGACACTAGATTCTTGCATGCTACCTATGTAACCTGTGAAATTGAATGAGTTATTCTTTATGATTGGATTTTTGGGGGGAGCAGATAACCTTAAAATTTTCACATTGGCAATAATATTCAATGACTACGTGATTCTGAACTATTGTCATTCTATGATTCTTTCTGCCACATTTATGGACTTGGGAGAAAGTTATAGTCAAAGGGTAAGATAAGCTCTAATTTAAAAGAACATTTTGAATAAGTTGTACACTTCTTTATTTCTCTAAAATCTTTAAATGCCCTTTTTGTTGCTGCTGTTGTTGTTTCTTGGGTCCGGTCATGGGGCCTGAACTCTGGGCCTGGGCGCTGTCCCTCAGCTCTTCAGCTCAAGGCTAGCGCTCTACCACTTGAGCCATAGCGCCACTTCCGGCTTTTTTCTTTTTGCTTATGTGGTGCTGAGGAATCAAATTCAGGGCCTCATGCATGCAAGACAAGCACTCTACCACTGAGCCACCTTCCCAGCCCCTGCCCTTTGTTATATATATTAGTTCTCAGGTTCTTTTATAAAGAAACTTTTATTGATGTATAGTTTTAAGCTGAAAAATTCACAAATCATCCATGAATATATCATACTGGAGGTTTTTTATTTTCCTTTTTTTTTTTTTTTCAATTTGGTCATGGGGCTTGAACTCTGGGCCTAGGTGCTGTCCCTCAGCTCTTCAGCTCAAGGAGAGAGCTCTACCACTTGAACTACTACAGCATCACTTCCGGTTTTCTAGTGGTTTATTAGAGATAAGAGTCTCATGGATTTTCCTGCTCAGGCTGACTTCGAACCGCAATCTTCTCATCTCAGCCTCCTGAGTAGCTAGGATTACAGGTGTGAGCCACTGGTGCCCGGCTTGTTTTATGTTTTTTAAGTTTTACTTGTGGTTATTTAAAAATTTAGGAAGTAATTCTCTAGAATAGACATTTCATTTGGTTAAAAATTTTCCATATTAACTTAAATTTTATTTTATTTTTTTGCTAGAACTGAAGATTAAATTTAAGGGCCTGACTTGATCTTTACTTGCTTATGGCTAGTACTCTATCACTTGAACCATGCTTCCAACTAGGTTTTATGCTTGTTAGTTGGAGATGGAGTCTCAGACTTTTCTGCCCAGGCTGGCTTCAAACTGCTATACTCTAAGTCTCAGCCTCCTGAGTTACCTAGGGTTACAAGCATGAGCTACCAGTGTTTGATTTAGCTTAAATTTTAATATCTAATAATCATATATGTTAAGTGTAAGACTTTTCTTAGTGATGGCTGAAGTTTTAATTGAATAGCTATTACTCCTAACATTTTAAAATGTTAACTCTAGGTGGTCTTGACTCAACTTTTAAATATCTAATTCAGGTGGCCAATATGTGGATTTTTTTCTGTCAAGTTAGCAGTATTTTAATTTGTATCTTGGTATTTAATTTCGTTCATGCAAAAAATTGGCAAGAAGTTGAGCACTAGAAAGTAAGGATTGATGGGGCTAGGAAGGTGGCTCAGTTGTAGGATGCTTGCCTTCCATGCATGAGGTCCTGGGTTCAATTCCTCAGCACCACATAAGCAGAAAAAGCTGAAAGTGGCACTGTGGCTCAAGTGGTAGAGCTCTAGTCTTGAGCTGAAGAACTGAGGGACAGTGCCCAGGCCCAGAGTTCAGACCCCAAGACCAACAACAACAACAACCAAAAAAATGTATGCATTGAGTAATACAGAATACTAATGAATGTTACCTTACATATTTGGTAAACTGGATTCACAGTTTTTCAGTTTCTTTATGTTGTATAATTACATATCCATTCCTTTTGCCATACAGTATTGTAGTAACTTATACTAGTGTGGGCCAATTAATAATCCCTGCCCCATCAATGTCATTCTTGGCTGCCTGTATGGCTTCCTTGTGCCAGTGGAATGTAAGTGAGTAGAGGTCTTACATAGGTTACTCTGATTTGACTTGAGCCTTCTATGCTCCTTTGATCCACTAGAGAAGAGCATGTTCCATATACTTACTTTGTCCTTTCTGTAGCTGGGCCCAATGTTAAACATACATTGGTATCATTCTGAATCTGACCAAAAATCTAGTCAGTAGCGTCTTGAGCCCATCCACATTTTGCAGACTTATGTACTTGAAGTAAACTTCTTATAATCTACTGAAGTTGTGAGGCTGGTAGTTTCTAAGAGACTAAATACTACATTCTATAACTGTATACTAGTTTCTAAGAGAAGCTATTAACTAGTGTATAATCATATTCTGTGGATACTTACCATTTCTTTACTTGAAGATACATTTTTCTTTGTAGCATCATTGAGTTCACACATGATTTGTAGGACAGAGAAGATGGAAGAAAATGTTTCTAAGCAAAAAAGTGAACTAGGACAGCCAAACTGGACTAATTGCTGTATGATTCCTTAAGGAGTATTACTGTATTCTAAAATTACCTGCTAATTTTTAACTGTGGGACATTTCAAATGAAAAGTGGTACTTCACTAAACCAAATATATTTTCAGATATATTACTTTAAAGGATCCCTCAGTTAGGCAATTATACTAATAGTATACTTCTTAAATAATCTACAAAGAACTAGAATTCTGTATGAAATTGTCTGAAGTCTATTCATGTAAGCCTAATAACTTTGAATCCATATTGAGAGAAACAGTTGAAAAATAGGTCTTAGAGAAATAGTATCTTTCTGATCAGAGTTCTAGAGAGGAAAGGAGAGAGAGGCAGAAGGAAGGGAGGAGGAAGGAAAGGAGAGAGAGAGAGAAAACATAAGTGGTTGGAAGAAAATTGGTCAATACAGTAACCAAAGGGCCCAGAAAAGTAAAAAAATTAAGAGATATTCAGATGAAGTTCCTAAAATCCAAGGATAAAGAATGAATTCTTCATTTTTCCCAGCAGACATTTGAAGTTTTTTTTCACTTTGTTTTATGCATTTTGTATGCATGTTGTATTTTTTATCAGACTATTTCTGGTTTATACATCTTTTCTGATTCACTTGTTCAAATTATCTATGCTATTGTTAAAGAGAGTTTGTTATGTATGATAAATTCTTTAAATAGTTTGAGATCTATGATGATGCTATCTTTCTCTAAGAAGATTTATGTTTGTTATGGGTGGTCTTAGCAGTACTTTCTTGATTAAATTTTGTGGGAGCAAAGCTATTTGAGCTAAGCGTTACTACTTGTAAGGACCAGTCTTGGTTTGGTTCAGAGTTACTTCTTTGGACTTTCAGTAAAAGTATTGGAGTTCTGCCAGTTTCTTCCCTTCATACCTTGGTGAGTTCTAGACTAAGTGTGTGTGTGTGTGTGTGTGTGTGTGTGTGAGAGAGAGAGAGAGAGAGAGGAGAGAAAGAGAGAGAGAAAGGGAATAGAGAGAGAGATTGAAAAAGAGAAAGAGAGAGCCGGAGAGGGAGGGAGGGAGGGTAAGAGAGAGAGAAATGGTCCCGGGGCTTGAACTCAGGATCTGGGCACTGTCCCTGAGCTTTAGTGCTCAAGGCTAGCTCTCTACCACTTCTGGCTTTTTTTGTGAATTAATTGGGGATAAGAGTCTCACAGGCTTTCCTGCCCAGGCTGGCTTCGAACTGTGATCCTTATATCTCAGCCTCCTGAGTAGCTAGACTAACACTTTGTTCTTGCAGTTCTGTAAACTGTTGATAGCTTGTTAACCTCTACAGTGCCACTAAATAAAAAGTCACCCCAAATGCCAGACTTAGGTCTTTTATTTGTTATTCTTGGTTGCACTGTTAATTTTCTACTACCTTAGAAAGATTTTAAAGGATATAGGCAGTTCTAGTTTTTCTTAGGGAAAAGTTGGTCTGAAGTACATAATCTGCCATTACTAAGAATGGAAGCCAACAACTTACAATTTACTCTTTCAAAAACATGCTACATTACTAAAAGCTGCATATCAGTAGCTCACACCTATATATAGCCACTTAGGAGGCTGAATTCTGAGGGTTAAGGTTTGAAGCTAGCTGAGAAAGATAATCTGAAAGATAATTATCTCCAGTTAACCAACAAAAAGCTGTTGTTGAGAGAAGAAAGACAGGGAAAGAGTTCAAGGCCAAGAGTTCAAGCCCTAGTACACGCATATGCATACACACACACATATACATGCTTACTCTCTTGTCTCCCACATACATGCACATATACAATGCATATGAGCAGATTCAAAGAGCATCATATAATGTCAGTGTTACTCACTTTTTATGTAATTTTTTGAGGGAGGAGACAAAAGAAATAGAATTGCATTGATCCTACTAGCAGTAGCACAGTATTAAACAAGTATTCTGTCAGGAAACATTAAAATAATCTAATTTTAATTTACTGTGTTGTTCTATAATTATTTCCTATTTTCCTGTATTACTGTATTTCTCATGAGATAGCCTGCTCTTATAAGGAGGAACCCTGTTTTTTACTCATATCTGATTACCATTAGCAGTACCAAGAGTTGAGTATCCAGTAAGTATCCAAATGAATATATTTGTTGAAAATGTCTGATTTGGTTTTTTTTTTGCAGTGGAAATCAGTGTGTGTGTGTGTGTGTGTGTGTGTGTGTACACACACACACACACACACACACACATATATATATATACATATATATGTGTATATATATATATATGTATATAGGAGTCATCCTTACCAGCATATTTTAGTAAAGGAGATATTCTTTCTTACCAACCTTTTCTTTCTGTACCATTCTTTTCTGTCCACAGGTGGCATCTCCACAGAAAGCGATTGTGCTTTTGAGCCAGACTATGCTGTTCCACCACTTCCAGTGAGTGAAGGTATGCAGCACATTCGGATTATGGAGGGCATGTCTCGCTCTCTTCCATCCTCCCCCTTACTCACACATCAGTCTATCAGTGTTCGGCTCCAACCTGTGAAGAAGTTAACTGGTAAGACTTTACCTGAATTTAGTATATTTAACAGGAGACATTTAGGTCATTTTAGATGTTATATACTTCACTAGATGTTTTCTCTTTGGCCTTCCTAATATCACAGACTCTTGGAAAGCAGAGCTCCTACTAATTTTAATTGAGAGAATTATAACAGCATTTATTTCCACAGATTGATGTATTTATTTTCTACTTGACCCATCTGTTGTAGACATATTTTTCTAGGTTTTCAGGAATTTTCTAGTTTTGCCAGGATACACTGTTGTCATGATTTCATTCATCAGCTTGTTCATGTCAGATTAACAGATGGAGATTTTATAATTTTAGGACTTCAGAGCTTGGTCATTAAGCAAAGGTATATCCATTATATTTTTGTTTGAAATGATTTATACATTTCATCTCTATTTTTAAAAGTTGACTTAGATATTTTCCTCTCCATAGGGCCCAATTGTAACTTCTAGGGAATTTACTATAAATCATAAATAGTGTTTTGTACTGACTCTGAATATCCTTTCCATGTTTTATATGGCTCATTCAGATCAGGTATTAATTAAATGAACTGTGTCCTTAAACATTTCAGGGAAGAAATTTTTAGTTATAAATGAAGAATACTTGCATATGAAAATATTTAAGCCTGGATTATTTCATCAGATTTTAACAATTTCATGAGATTCTAACAATTTCATTAGATTCTAACATTATTAGTATATCCTTTTGAAAGATACTTTATACACTTATATATAGCAGTTCTATTGTGGCATTTTCATACAGTATATTATTGGTGGAGGTTATTTGACTTGTATTGATGTTTATGAGTACATGATAATATGAAATTAAGGGTATATTGATGTTTGCTATGTTCCTGATAGTTAGTTAGAAAATAGGGAGGTTTAACATTGACAATTTAGACAATTCAAAAGAAAAGGAAGAGGGAAATGGGATTTTTAGACTTTTTCTAATTAGAATGAAGGATTAACTTTTGATAGTTTTTATTAAAATAATAGTATTTCTTTATTCTGTAGTTCCACCAAATATGTTGCCTCTTGTTGCTGTTTATTGTATTGAAGCAGAGTATTGACTCTGGTTATTAGGTAAAATGCAGTGAAACAACCTATTAACATAATAGGCTAAAATACTGTTTTCCTTATAAGGTCTTAACAATATAACACGTTTTGTATAATTTGTGTGTAAATAAATTTCATTGCTTGGATATCCTCCTATTTTGCAATTAAAATTATTGATTACTAAAAATACAATACACAAAACAGAAAGTCTAATGTCATGTTATGTATCTTATTTTATCATATGCATTAGAAGTAGTTGCAAGAAAAGTTCAGTTTTCATGTAGAAGTGAGCTAGATTGCCTGAGCTTTCAAAGGTACCACTTGCCAATTTACCTGTTGCAATTTAAACACTTAAATATACAACCTAACTACTTAGAAGGCTGAGATATGAGTGTTGTAGTTTGAAACTAGCCCAGGAAGAAAAGCCCATGAGACTTTTTTTCTCCAGTTAACCACCAAAAAGCTGCAAGTGGAGATGTGGCTCAAATAGTAAAGCGTTAGCTTTGAGCACAGAAGTGTAGGGGAAGCATCTAGGACCTGAGTTCAATCCCCAGGACTGGAACAAAAAATAAAAAAATTAAAAGGAAAATCCATTTAATAACAAAGACAAGAATGTGCTTAGTATCATAACGGTGATGTAGTAAAACCTTAAGAAGGGGTATAGTTGATAATGATATGAACTATTAAAATTACATTTTACAGTGTTTAGAGTATGTGTAACATCTCAAATGGTTTTATTACTTATTAAAGATTGCCAAAGACCTAAGAATTTAAAATTAAAATGTATTTTATGATTCCTAAATGACTGAAATCCATTTCCTTAAAGAAAATGTCATAAAAATGTTTACATGGCCACTGTAGTAGTTTGCTTCCATTATTCTTCAGTGCTGTGCGTGCGTGTGTGTGTACGTGTGTGTGCGCGCGCATGCCTATCCTGAGGCTTGAACTCAGGACCTGGGCTCTGTTCTTGAGCTTCTTTTGCTCAAGGCAAGAGCTGTACAGCTTGAGCCACAGCTCTACTTTCTGTCTTTTTGGTAGTTTATTAGCAATAAGAGTCTCACAGACTTTCCTGCCCAGGCTGGCTTCAAACTGTGATCCTCACATCTCAGCCTCAGATGTGGCTAGGATTATAGGTGTGAACTACCAGTGCCTGATTTTCTTCAATGCCTTTTATTTATTCAATAAAACTTTACTTTGGTTTGCTTTGTCCTTGGCACTTTCTAGACATAATAGATTAGTGAAAATGATTAGTAAGGTTTCTGCTTCAAAGGTTTTTAAAATTTTATTTGGGAGAGTGGTAATAAACGTCAATAGATAAACATTTTAACCTTAAATCATGGTAAGCTCTATTAAGGTATATAAAATAGGGAGTGGGATATGAGAAACTGGGCTAGAAATAGTTTCTTTACATAAAATGATCAAGGAGAGTTAGAGGACATATTTGAGCTGAGGTTTGAATGAAAAGGAGGTAACCATGGCAGATGTGGTCTCTGAGCCTTCTGGGCAGAAGAATAGTTCCAACAAAAATCCAAAAGCCCAAATGAGCTTAGCGTATTGAAGGAATGCAAAGTGGTCAGGTATGGCTTCAGCAAAGTAAATCCAGGGGGATGGTATTTAAAAATGAGTGAAGTTTGTTTTCAACATAGTAGTGTCTTGTATATCTCATTGTTACAATGGGTCATCCTGTATCCTTATTTCAGCATTCTGTTATTCCTTTCCCCTCCCCAAATCAGAAAAATGTATATAAAAGATGCAGAACACCGGAATCAGATACAGTGAAAACAGGCTTATACTATGGGGGAAGAACATATAAAAGAAACAAAAAAAATCACATGGTACATTATAAATACATTAGGAACAACAGCAAGAAAGAGAAAACCACTTGTATCCCTATCTTGGGGTTCATTTCGCTTAGCATCATCTTATATAGTCATATGTACATAGCTTTAGACCTCTTCTGCTTGTCCTAGACATATACTAATTATTGTAAATAAGGAAACCAGGGGACCTGTATTTCTTTAGGCCTGGCTTACTTCACTTAATATAATTTTTTCCAAGTCTTTCCATTTCCTAACAAATGGGGCGATGTCATTCTTTCTGATGGAGGCATAGAATTCCATTATATATACCATATTTTCTTGATCCATTCATCTACTGAGGTCCATCTGGGTTGGTTCTGTATCTTAGCTATGATAAATAGTGCTGTGATAAACATAGCTGGGCTGGTAGCTTTAGTATAGCTTTGTTTGTGATTGTTTGGGTAAATGCCCAAAAGTGGGATTGCTGGGTCATAGGGGAGCTGTATGTGGAGTCTTTTGAGGAACCTCCATACTGCTTTCCAAAGTGGTTGACAAGTTTACACTCCCACCAACAATGCAGTAGGGTTCCCTTTTGGTCACATCCCCTCCAACATCTGTTGTTATTATATTTCTTTTCTTTTTCTTTTTTTTTAGTCAGTTGTGGGGCCTGAACTCTGGGCCTGGGTGCTGTCCCTCAGCTCCTCAGCTGTGGACTAGCACTCTACCACTTGAGCCTCAGCCCCACTTTAGCTTTTTCTGCTTATGTGGTGCTGAGGAATCGAACTAAGGGCCTCATGCATGCAAGGCAAGTACACTACCACTGAGCCACCTTCCCAGCACCAATTTCTTGATTATAGCCAATCTACTGGGGTCAGGTAGAATCTCAATGTTGTTTTGATTTGCATTTCTTTTATGGTTAGGGAGGTTGAGCATTTCTTCATGTGTCTATTGGCCGTTCTTTTTTCTTCTTCAGAGAAGTGTTTCTTTAAGCCTTTACCCCACTTATTTATCAGGCAGTTGTTTCTTTGAGGATTTGTTGTTGGGGGCTTTAATTTTTTGAGTTCTAAGTATATTTTAGATATGAGACCCTTATCCGTTGTATGGCTAGTGAAGATTTTCTCCCAATCTGTGGGCTTTCTATTGATCTTGCTAGCTATGTCCTTTGGGGGAGGGGAGGGAAGGAGGAGTTGAGGAAGTGGGGAAGAAGGGATGGTAGGAGGAAAACAAAGGAGGAGTTTAACAATGCTCAATAGGAAATGTAATCATTACCTTACTCATGTAACTATAACCCCTCTGTAGAGTATTCTTACAATAAAAATATATAAAAGATGAGTGAAGAGGTAAGCTGAAGCTAGAATTTGTAGGATCATGATGAAGAGACGACTTTGATTGTAGGATTTTTAAGCAGAGGAAGAATAGGAAATAATATAATCTGATTTACCTTTTAATTGACTTTTGTTATCCATTGAGGAGAGAACAGAGCATGAAGGACTACAATGTCCAGTGTTCATTAACCTTGCACATCTTTTCCTTCTCATCTTCCAGCAAGGTAGGCACTTAAAGATATTACAAGGAGTCTCATCTTAAAGATATTAAAAGGAGTAACCTTTTCTTATCATTGTTCTTATGTAACTTTAATACTCTTTCATATTTATTTTTGTCCTTCAATATAGATACATATGAAGATTCATTTGAAGAAATAAATCTATTTTCAAGTACTCTGACAGCTCTGGAGAGAGCCAGTGACTGAGTACAGGGAAAGGCCTGCTAAGAAAAGACACACATAATTTGAAGTCTGTAACTAGTTTTAAAATGTACTCCATTGTGTTCAGTACAAAAGTAAGTTAATATAGCAAAGCTGGATGAAAGGGACACGGACCCTATGGTCACTGTTTTGTTTTTTTTTAATCTCAGCTCTGAGTTAGTGACTTCACCACTGTGTGATTCTATTTCTTCATCTACAAAATGGGGCAACAACTTTATGACCTTAGATGGATTGTATTATTATTATTACAGTGACCACAAT